TATAGACTTTTGATTCAGTTGATTTTTTGTCCAACATGATTGGTTGCGTTACATATGAGTTTTTACTTATGTTGAGGTGCCTGTTAACAGCGTTAATTTAGTGCTTTGTAATTCTTGATTTTGATATATTGCTTGTAGTTATTACATGTGGTTTGTCTATAGCTTGTAGTTCGTTTTTAATAATTTCATTTCTGGAAGTGAGTCGGGGTGGTCTCCATGTTTGTTTTATTGTAGACTTATGATTAATATTTACAACTAGTTCACTCTTACTCTTACTCTAATCTTACTCTATCTATCTTACTCTTACACTAATATCAGAGTTTTTCAGTCTCATTTTTTAATTTTTTTTAGCGCTGCTATTGCTATTTGTTGAGGGAGTTTGCGTGTTAACGTGAAAAATCGATCGTTATTTCTCAGTTTACAAGTATTTTTGATAGTTACCTAGGGATGACTAGTTCAATTTCTATTTTATCTATCTCGATGTATTTTATTGCGTGGAGGATTTTTTTTAAATTTTTATTTCGCGACCAGGTTCGCCAAAGTCTTCTCTCAATCTATGAATTTCTTCAAAAGCATCTTCAAGTACGTTGGCCTTGGAGAGATCATCAAGAGCCATGCCCCTTGCACCATGAAGAACTATTATTGGTTTTTGGTTTAGTCCTTTCAATGATCGTGCCATTCCCATCGTGAGTGATCACGACCACTAAGATTGGTCAATTTGTTAACTCAACTTTTCCTAGTGTACGTTAGGATTTTTTTTTGAAAGTTCTTGACTCTCTTCCAATAAGGATCGCGCGTTCTCTGAAATTTACTCCTAATTGTAATTCGTTCTTTTATTATCAATTTGATCTCTTTGGGCATTTTGACTAGATTGTAGTATATTTCTTTTGGTAGAATTGTTTTAGCAACCGCGTTATTTATTAGTTGGGTTAGTGTGGTTAATGCTCCTTCAATTTAACTGGTTGTGTTTTTCGTAGTAGTTAAGGGCATCTGACACACTTAGGTTTTTGATGGCAGTTTCTGGAACCGTGGCCGAATTGTTGACATTGATGGCAGTCTGTTACCCGCTTCTTATTTTTAGACTCCCCCTAGTGGATTTTGCAGTGCGCCAAGTATTTAACATTTGTTGCTTTTGCTGCCACTTGTGCTGACGCAATCGTTACCATACAGATGACGTAATGGAATGGCGACTCCTTGCTGCCTCTTTACTTCAGGTCCCAACATCTGGTAACTTTGATCTCTTGTTCCCTCAGTTGTGCTTCGATTTTATCGGTCGGAAATGTAAGGAGCCCTTCAATTAGCTGATAGTGCGGTTTATCTTCGAAGTCTGTATAGGTGAAGTAGTTGCACTTCTTCCCCTTTAGTTTCTTCCATATCGGTTGGTAGTCAAGAGAGCTTGCTGCAAATGCTATTGTAGATTGCGATTTGTATTTGAATTTCATTTCTTCACTACATCATGTCCTGATTACCTCTATCAAAAGTTTATGGTTTGTGATTCTTAAGGTCACTGCTATTGGCGCTATCTTGGGTTTCATGATACTTGAATCCATTGTCGATACGTTATCTTCACTGATTATAGAGTCTTCCATGTTGCTGTCGCTTAGCATTTCGAATCTGGTTGTAACGATAAACGTCACTTCTTTATCCATTTTTGTGATTATTGATGTGTTCACTGGGTTTAGGAAACATTGATTTTTTTCGCTTATTTCGGGTGGAGTCAGTGCTTATTTGTTTACCTGCACTTGGTTCATTGTTTGTCAAAGTTTTTGCTCTTGGATTTGAAATATTGGGTTTGGATTCAACACTCGTCTCATTTTATTGATTTTGAGTTAGGAGGGTTGACACTACTCTCGGTAGTGGTTTTCTTGTAGGCCAGAGGTGGGCAACCTCAGGTAAGCTCGGAGCTGCAGCCATAAAATAATTAAGGTCCCAATTATAGGGGACTTGACGCTATTACAAGGGTTGTCATACATTTGTCG